TTTATCGACGTTATCGACACCCATCATATAACATGTGATCGATAAAGCAGTTAACGTGCTTAACTGAAGGATGTACCTCCAGTTAGCGTTAACTAGACATGGTGCAAACGGCCCTAAGGGCCGTTTGCACCATGTCTAGAGAATTCTAACTCCCAGTTAAACATCTCTATCGACGTTATCGACACCCATCATATAACATGTGATCGATAAAGCAGTTAACGTGCTTAACTGAAGGATGTACCTCCAGTTAGCGTTAACTAGACATGGTGCAAACGGCCCTAAAAGATGTAAAAAAGAGAGAAGTTTCGCTAAAACCGACATCGATAGTTTTAAAAAACTATCGATAGAGGCGACAGTTTTCAACTATCGATACTATCGATATTACTATCGATAGTATCCCAGTTCTAGTACACTAGAGGTTTTTGGAAGCTTATCTTTATTGTTAACTTAATTGGAATAATGGTCACACAACTGGACGATATTCGGTTAATTAAATTAGTACAATTGCATCCTATTTTGTACGACAAAAGACTAGCGCGCGGTCAAAAGAACTCTATATTAAAAGATGATATATGGCACAAGTTGTCACTCCAGTTGAATTGCTCGGGTAAATGATAGGAACACATCAAGATAACCAACAGTTCAGCAATGGGAAAACTAAAAATGCAGACCGATAGTGCTTTGTACGCTGATTTTAACTATATAAATATTATTTGCCGCAATCAAAAAGTAAAGGAGATATAAAAGGTTAAATAAAATTTTTGCGATATTTTAAAATATTAATATTTTCTAAACTACGTAACCGATTAAAAAAGTAATAATACCAAAATAAAGACAATAAAGTGCATAATCAATGCTAAAGACATATATATTATTTAGAAAGTGCAAGTTCTTACCTTTAATTCGATATACATATTTTATTATTATCTACTTTTGAGGTTTAAGAATTCAGTGATAAAAAAAAATTAAAAGCATTTACAAGCAAGTTACAATTGTGGGTGATATAGTTTCTTTTGCCCAGAATGTCTTTCGGGTGGGCTTTAGTAGTCAGCCGCACCTTGTGTTTTAAGAAAACCAGGTGGAATTAACAAATGAAACTTGGTCAGGATGTTAAGGGAGGTATCCTCTAAAACATGTATAACTAAAAAATATAAATAATATCATTGTTTATAAGTTATTTGTTGTTAAAATTTCTTAAGTCGTTCCACTTGGTTTCCTTAACAAAAAAGCATTTGTGCATACTTTTATATATATAAATGCACATAACACTGTACTTAATACTTTACACACTTTTCTTTTATTTTATCTTGTATATAAATCACTTTAATTAAACTTTTATCGACTTGTAAATTACATTGAATTTCACGCATATTTACAATAACACATGGTTGCAAACTGACACATAACATGTGTTGCCATATTGTACAAAACAATACATACAAAGAAGGCAATGATTAAAAAGGAATACAGGGGAAATCAATACAAAAGAAAATGTTCAGCTCCTTTTCTTCGCAAAACAGAAAGGCGAATTCTATTGCCTGAGGGTTATAATCCCTAAGTGCGGCCGAAGGCCGCCTACGCAGAAAGGTGTTCTCTGCAAAAGGTGTTCAGCTCCTTTTCTTCGCAAAACAGAAAGGAGAATTCTACTGCCTGAGGGTTATAATCCCTAAGTGCGGCCGAAGGCCGCCTACGCAGAAAGGTGTTCTCTGCAAAATGTGTTCAGCCCCCCCTTCTTCGGCAACACAGAAATAATAATTCTACTAAGTAAAAATTCCGAATTAAAAATCCGCTTTTATTATTCAAAATTCCAGTCTGGTAGCACTAAGTTGTATGTTATTTTGCTATGTTATTCATCGTTTATATGAAAACTTTAACAATAAATTATATAAGAACTATAGGGTTGCTAGAAAAAAGGGGGGTAGTTTTGAAATCAGGGGGTCCTATTCTATACCCCCTCATCCCCCCTTTTTCTAGAATTTGCCGTCCATCTACTAAAATTTTCCCTGTCTTTCTGCGTAGGCGGCCTTCGGCGCCCTTAGAGATTCATAACCCTCAGCAAATAGAATTCGTCCTTTCTGTTTTGCCGAAGAAAGGGAGCTGAACACCTTTCTGTGTAGGCGGCCATCGGCCGCACTTAGGGATTATAACCCTTACCAAATAGAATTCTCCTTTTGGTGTGCACCAGAGACCAGTTGCGGTGTATCGCATTTTCGAATACACCGCAACGACATTTATGCAGCGTTTATTTAGCACTTTCGAACATATGTTTTCGAAGAGCGTTCATGCTATCGCATTTAGCAAATGTACATTTACGCGAGTTCGAAATCGTATGCTTTTGACAAACAGCCGTGTTCCAGTCGCTTATTCAGATCCGTATCTATTACGATCAATTCTCACGCAAAAGATAATGTGCAAAAACCCTAACGAAGAGGAAAAAAATAAATTTTAAACCAAAACTTCAATACAAAAATTTGAATTGTTTTAACCAAGGTCGACCATTTGTTTATGTATATATTCATTTGTCGGTGCTGTCAATTAATATTTCCTCACTTAATTAGGAAACAAAACAAACAGAATTGATCACAAATTGATCCAGATTTCTATCAGCATCACATCGATATTGAATTTTCTTAACTTTTCTTTATCCAAATAATGTAAAATAATAAATGAAATCTCGATCGGCGATCACTGAAACGCAGCTAGCCTCTGTATACTCGAAAATGCAATGTTGCCACTTTTTCTCATTAAACCATGTTCGAATCGTGGAAATGTTGGAAGATCACAGGGTTGCTTTTAGCATTTAGATTCTTAATGCAAAAATGGAGTTGCATTTAGTCGCATTTAGGTGACGAATTTTGTATGGATAAATGTACATTTACAGTAGCATTTAGAGCTAAATGCGCTAAATGTTCTTTTACGCGTAATGCAGCGTTTTTGCTGCATTTAAAATGCAACATTTAGCACTTTCGAACATATGTTTTCGAAGAGCGTTCATGCTATAGCATTTAGCAAATGTACATTTACGCGAGTTCGAAATCGTATGCTTTTGTTAAACAGCCGTGTTCCAGTCTCTTATTTAGATCCGTATATATTACGATCAATTCTCACGCAGAAGAAAATGTGCAAAAACCATACTGAAAAGGAAAAAATAAATTTTAAACCAAAAATTCAATACAAAAACTTGAATGATTTTAACCATAACCAAACATTTGTTTGTGTATATATTCATTTGTTGGTGCTGTCAATCAAAATTTCCTCACCTAATTAGGAAACAAACCAAACAGAGTTGATCACAAATTGATCCAGATTTCTATCAGCATCACATCGATGTTGAATTTGCTTAACTTTTCTTTATCCCAATATGTAATGTAAAATAAAAGAAATCTCAATCGGCGATCACTGAAACGCAGCTAGCAACTGTATACTCGAAAAAGCAAAGTTACCACTTTTTCTCTTTAAACCATGTTCGAATCGTGGAAATTTTGGAAGATCACAGGGTTGCTTTGGCATTTAGATTCTTAATGCAAAAATGGAGTTGCATTTAGGTGACGAATTTTGTATGGATAAATGTACATTTAGAGTAGCATTTATGCAGCGTTTTTGCTGCATTTAAAATGCAACATTTAGCACTTTCGAACATATGTTTTCGAAGAGCGTTCATGCTATCGCATTTAGCAAATGTACATTTACGCGAGTTCGAAATCGTATGCTTTTGACAAACAGCCGTGTTCCAGTCTCTTATTTAGATCCGTATATATTACGATCAATTCTCACGCAGAAGATAATGTGCAAAAACCCTACTGAAAAGGAAAAAATGAATTTTAAACCAAAAATTCAATACAAAAACTTGAATTGTTTTAACCATGACCGACCATTTGTTTATGTATGTATAATATATTCATTTGTCGGTGCTGTCAATTAAAATTTCCTCACTTAATTAGGAAACAAAACAAGCAGAATTGATCAAAATTGATCCAGATTTCTATCAGCATCACATCGATATTGAATTTTCTTAACTTCTTTATCCAAATAATGTAAAATAATAAATGAAATCTCGATCGGCGATCACTGAAACGCAGCTAGCCTCTGTATACTCGAAAATGCAATGTTGCCACTTTTTCTCATTAAACCATGTTCGAATCGTGGAAATTTTGGAAGATCACAGGGTTGCTTTTAGCATTTAGATTCTTAATGCAAAAATGGAGTTGCATTTAGTTGCATTGAGGTGACGAATTTTGTATGGATAAACGTACATTTAGAGTAGCATTTAGAGCTAAATGCGCTAAATGTGCTTTTACGCGTAAGCAAAAACAGCCCATTATTTACTGTACCACTCAAACTCAATAATACTTAGTAACGAAATCTACCGCCACCGCAATCACCGCAAGCTCAAATAATGTCGTGTTTGAGTGTTTTGTGCTCGATCAAAGCGTCGTTACTGCATATTATGGCGCCGCATTTTCATGTCGGCTTCGGTGGTATGCTTGTTTGAATGCGGTGCACCGCATTATACGAGTGTAAGTGAAATAAAAATTAATTGAATTAAAAGAAAATACATATTAAATATTTTGTGTATTTAAATTTGACTAATTGTTCATATTTATTAATTTTTTTGTAACATGCATACATACAAACTCTGTAGGCAACTGTAGCGATAAAATGCTCTTATAATCAGTGTTGCCGTTTTAGCCCTTTGGTGGCTAGATTTAGCTACCACATACTTTTTTTGGCCACATAAATTTAAAATTGCCCCTAGCCCTTTTTTTAACCCTTTGGGGAATTTATTCGTACGGGGTATGAAAAAGTTCTATATTTGCTTAATTTAAACTAAGAAAGGCTGATATATACATATATGTAAAAGTATGTTCCTTACGTTTTTATACATATGTACGTACTGTAAAAGTGTTAGGGCTGTTAACTTATTTATTAACGATTTAACTATAGTTTGAAATAGATAAGTTTACGGCCCTTAATATGCTTAATTTTTTAAATGGTCCATCAAGTCGATTGACCGTGTATGTTCTTGTGGTGTGATTGTACCAGCTGCTGGTGCGACTTCAAAAACTATTTGAAAATTGTATGATTGTACCAGCATGTTGGTGTCGTCAGTGGTGAAATCAGCTCAATTTTCTAAGTAAAAAGTATTTTGGCGGAAATTTCGTGCACTATATGAGTCAAAGCCGTATTTGTGGAAGATTAAGTTCACGATATTGCAGTTGTGAATTAACAAAAAAAAAACAATGTTTAACAAAATGGTAAAAAAATTATGAAATTTCGGCTCTAATCATTTCGATCCTTCCTCGACCTCATTGGTAAAGAAATAAATATTGTACCAGCATGCTGGTATGTTATATGCTTCGAGCCTGATGGTACAATTACTTGATGGAGCCAGCAAGCTGGTATCGTATATTTTCCCTTTTATACAAAAAGGTTTTTGGTTGGATAAAATATTAGCTTTTTTTCAGAGTTCATTGTTTTTCTGTACCATTTTCTATTGAAAATGTTTGCCCATATACTTATATATGAACACGTAAGTAAAAAAATTTAGCTACCATTTTTAGGCACAACGACTTTTTTTAGCCCTTTTTTTAAGGAATCTGGCTACCACTAAAAATGATTCGCGGCAACACTGCTTATAATGCGGTGCACTGTATTCAGCCAAGCATATCCGGAAATAATGCGATGTTTAAACGACCGCTCATACCACCGCATAGCCGAAGTCGACATGAAAATGCGGTGCCACAATATGCAGTCACGACGCTTTGGTCATACAAGTCATCGCAAACACGAACGCGACAAAAAATGCGATGCACACAAATATCGCATTGCTTGCGGTGGCGGTTATACTTACACCGCATATTTTGCGAGTATACTTGATGTATCGAAAAAGGCACCGCATGCTGATCACTGGTGTGCACCAACCCCAGTGATGTAGCCTTGGGAAAGGATGAGGTAACTAAAATTCCCTTTCAGTGTGGTAAACCTGGGGCTGCCGCCCCAGTGATGTCTATTATGGTTACTAGGTGTTTTATAAAAATGTCTTGTATATAAAAATGTCTTGTGCAAATGAATATTTAAAATTTTTCAAGCGAAAAACCGCAAATGAAAATTGTGAGTTTTGGCCATTTTCCTAGGAAACCATAGGGGACCTAGGTTGTCGGGGGTTGCATGTTTGTCAATGGCGGTTCATTCCCTCTCCAAAAAGGTGGGTTAGAGATGCCACGTCCACTTACCTTTCGGCCACCGCCCCTTTAACGAACGGCCATAATGGAAAGCCAACCCGTTGAATTAACTACAATATGCATTTGCACATACATGCATTTATATTTTTTATTATCACTGAATTCTGAAAACTCAAAAGCAAATCATAATATAATATGTATATCAAATTAAAGGTAAAAACTTGCACTTTCTAAATAATTTTTAGTATTGATTATAAAATTTTTCTAAAAAAAGGTTATTTTATAAAAAAATTATGACATTTTTTTGTTTTATAATATTTTTGGCTGAAATATATAAAAAAGCATACACATTTTATTTATCAGCTTGAGGATAAATTAATTGTCTTTATTTTGATATAATTACCTTTTGTATCGGTTACGCAGTTTAGAAAATATTAATATTTTAAAATATCAACATTTTTTTCTTTTACCTTTTATATCTACTTTACTTTTTAATTGCGGCAAATAATATTTATATAGTTAAAATCAGCGTAAAAAGTACTAGCAATCTGCATTTTTAGTATTGCTATAGCTGAACGGTTGGTTATCTTGATGTATGCCAAATGATATATTCATACATATGTATTTTAAAAGTATTTTTTTAATCATTCATTAATAGAACGAGCTTGTATTACACGTTGGAAAAGTATTCGTGATAGATTTGGTAAAGAATTAAGGAGGGCACAAGAGAACCCTGATGAGACGGTAAACTGGGATATGTTCGAACATCTGCTATTTTTAAGAGATCATTACAAGCAAGGGTAAATTGTGAACTTTTGTAATATTTATTAATTAATTACAATTTATCAAGAGTTGTTAGGCAAACAAATGGAGAGGCGTTTCTTAATATAAAATATGATCCAAAAAAACGAAGACGGGGACGTAAACGAAAGATAGATTGTGAAGAAGATGGGCCTAAAGAAGATCGAGATGACGACGATGCCGATCCTGATGAGGTGGTTGAAAACCAGCAATTAATCGAGTTGGTAAAAGACCATCCCGTACTATATGACAAAATTAAAATACGGGATTCAAAAAATTTGACATTGAAAAATGATTCTTGGCGTGAGATTTCCGAAAGCATGGGAATATCAGGTTAGTTTTACACAACAGATTCTGGCGAAGACGACCAAAACAAAATATATGTGCAGCGACTCACAGTGATATTTCCCCAATTCGTGCCCATAAATCCACGATAAAAGCATTGATTTTGGGCTTTTATTCTATTGGCACGTCCCGACCTTTTGCATTGTTCATATGATCAGTGTGAAACTGTTAGTTGATGCAGCGCTCTGAAAAGTAAAAATGTAATGCTAAAGTTTAAAAGAACGCCAAAACCATAGGGGTGATCGATTTTAATTTTGTAAAATTTGTTTTTTGGGTTGGCTTTCTATTACATCGGTTTTTGGGTGTTTTCACAAAACCATCACGAATTTTGTCATGAAACTTGGCGGGGATGTTAAGAATCGTATATATTTACAATATTTTTCACTCTTTTGACTTTATTACTAATAGTATTAAACTAAAACGCTGTTAAAAAAAACTATACTTCTTTTTTATAAAAATCAATAATTCGATAAATAATGAACATTATTATTAAAATCAATACTTCGCCTACGAATCTTTTTTTATGTAAAACATTATTTCAATATAAAGTGAAAATTTTCAATAAAAACCCGCGACTTTTTTTTACTATTCTCATCTGGCACCACCAACATCTGTGTTCATTTCCAAAACTTCCATGTTATCAATGAAATTTTTATGGTGAATCATGCAACTTTAAAAGTTAATAACTTTGTTCCGGAAAAAACTGCTCTACGCTCTTATTTTTTATTTTTTTCAAATTTGGACCGAATTTAAGGAAAAGTTTCCCTTTTTTCCAATTTCGTGTAACATATCGTCGCCTGGGTAAAAGATTGTCGTAAGCGCCATTTTGACGATTTTTAGTTCAAGATGCAGTTATATATTTTGAAATAAGGTCTTTCGATTGGTGTTATCAGTTTTTAGATATCTCCTTTAGTTTCCGAGATATTGACTAACATTTTTTTGATAATTTAGTAAAAATTTATTTAGTGATGCAGCCACATTAAACTAATCAATAACTTAAAAATGGCGTTGTCCGTTTTTGGATATCTTCTTTATTTCCGAGATATTGAGTAAAAAGTGTCGTTAATTTGGTGTAAATATTGATCACATTTTGTCGTATTTCATACAAAGTGGCTGCTTAATTGTGGACAAATGACGCTTAGCACAAAATTTTACTAAAGAAAATCCGTCATAAACTCAAAACTAATTAACAATAAACATTAAAAATTAAATAATTTAAGAATTTTGTGTACTTGTAACATTTTCAGAGACTTTGAGAAATTGCATTCCAAAATTCAATCGCGATTTCCCACAACCTGCCGAAATCAACATACGACAATCTTTTACCCAGGCGACGATATGTACACGAAAACAACAAATATCGTGAAAACTCTTAAATAATAAGTCATTCTTATTATGAATATACTCATTTTTTAGATTATGGGCACAAAAGGGGGGTATCAAATATCACTGTACGGCATGTCTAAGTTGCTCCCCTCCCACATTTTGTTGGTAAATCGACATAGGAAACCATGTAGTCCGTACATTTCCGATATAGCAGTTCTAAAGCTGGTAATATTATTTTAATGGAGTATTTTAATCCTCTTAACTTCTAAATATATTTCATTGCACCTATTGAAGATTGCTATTTGTAGCTGAAGTATACGGCCGCTGCGGTGTAGCGGTTAGCAGTGGGCGCTACCATTCCGCACCAAAAAATAAAAAAACAATCACAAAAAAAAAATTCTAATAGCGGTCATGATAAAAACATAACAAGGTAGAATCATTGGGAGGCAGTCTGACGTTTGCCAGCAATTAGTTAGGATTTAGTCAGAACTTACAGGAAGTTGTTGTTGTTGTTGTAGCGGCTACAACAACCCCGCCCAGATCGGTTGATATCTCAGTCGTTGTCGTCTAGTTCCACTAACGGCAGCCCTAGGAAGCGTGCAGCCTCCACCGGGTCGGTCCACAGGGACAAAGCCGTTAGGGTTGTCGGGTTTTCCGGGCATGCGAAGAGATGTTTCGAGTCATGAGGGGTCTCTCCGCATGCCGGACACTCATTTGGCACATCCGCGTTCAGTCTACTCAGGTATGAGTTTTACCTGCTGCAGTAAGCTCCGTCTCATCTATGTCCGGAGGTGGTGTGCCTAGAACGGCATTCACAGGTCTAGAGTCTACATAACTTGAGACGGACTCCCTGTGAATGCCGTTCGGGGCCAGTGGGTATGCTGACGGGTCCAGAGGCTGCTTGATGAACCTCTGGACTTCGTCCGTCAGTTCGTATAGATGCCTCCTGACGTGCCTAGGCGAGGGCTCCTCTGCAAGCAGCTGTCTGTTTGGGTGGCCACTCTGTGGTTCCCGATCAGAAACTGCTTGCAGAGCATTATGTTGTGCACCTTGATTGCGAGCATTTGTGCCTCGTTGTGAAGGTGATGTTCTGGCGACATAAGGAGGCATCCAGTCGCTGTCCCGAGTGCGGTGTTCTGTACTGTCTGTAGCATCATCCACTGCGTCCTACTAGTCTCCGGGACCACACTGGTGCTGCGTAATTTAAAACCGGCCGGCCTATTGCCTTGTACGTTGCCAGCAACGTTTCTTTGTCTTTGCCCCAAGTACTGCCGGCTAGAGACTTGAGGACCTTGTTTTGCGGCTCTGTACTTTATTGACAATAGCGGTTGCGTGCGCAAAGAAGGAGAGCAGGCTGCCGAATGTTACTCCGAGTATTTTGGGGTTATTCACCGTCGGAATTGGTGTGTCATCGACGTGAATTCCAAGCGGTAGCCTGACCTCCTTCGTCCAGTTTGTGAACAAGGCCGCAGAGGATTTCGTAGGGGAGAGGGCTAGACACTTTGCAGTGAAGAAGCGAGAAAGATCGGAGAGATACCCGTTTACTTTCGAACACAGGTCATCAATTCCATTCCCAGTCGCCATGATCGAGCAATCGTCGGCGTAAAAGACAATCGAGACTCCCTCTGGTGGTTGAGGGAGCTTTGAAATGTAAAAGTTAAACAGTGGCGGGGAAAGGACACCACCCTGTGGAACCCCCTCTTTTATTTTTCTGAGTTTACTCGATTTGTCTCTAAACATTACCGACGAGTGTCTACCACTCAGATAATTTGCCGACCACCGTTTGAGCCTCTGTGGGAGAGAGGAAGCCTCTATATCTTCTAGTAGCGTGGAATGGCAGATGGTGTCAAACGCCTTTGACAAGTCCAACGATACTAGAATCGTTCTCTCACAGGTCGTTTGTGAAATACGGGAGCAGCAAGGCCTCGAGTGTCTTCGCTACTGGGGAAAGGAGTGTTATCGGCCGATACGAATCTCCTTTGTTGGCAGGTTTCCCCGGTTTGAGCAGTGGGACCACTCTCCCCACCTTCCAGATGTCTGGGATGATGAGAGTGGCCATAAACAGATTGAGGACCTCCGTTAGGTACGCTACTCCCGCAGGACCCAAATTTTTCAGCATCAGTATGCATATTTCGTCGGGACCTATGGCTTTGGAAGCTTTCGCCTTCCCGATGGCCACCTGAACTTCACCGCAAGTGAAAGCAAGGGGGCACAGGTTGTTGGCAGTTTGTGCAGCCTTCTGGTCACACGACGCCTGGCTTTGTCCACCGGAGGATGCAGTATGAACTGCCGGCTAAAATAGCTCGCGCATCGCTCCGGGTCCGACGAGGCATGGTCGCCGAAAGAAATTTCGACTCTGTCGTCGTGCTTCGTCGGATTGGACAGTGACCTCACGGTTCACGACAGGTTACAACAGAGGTGAAGTTACAGGTCTTCAGATGCTCTTCCCATTTCTTCCGCTTATGTACGTTCACTAGTTGCCGAATCTCCGCGTTGAGATCCCTGATACGGGGATCTCCGGGATCGGCCTGACGAAGGCTGTCACGCTCATCGGCTAGAACAGCCGCTTCAGCAGGGAAATTTGGACGTGGGTCCGTAATACATCCTGCCGGTACGAAGCGAGCTGCAGCAGCGGTGACAGCCCTGCGGAACTTACGCTCACCAAGATGGACGTCGGTTGGTGTGGGGAGAGCAGCGAAGGTGTTTCCAGTAAATTCCGCGAAGCCTTTCCAATCAGCTTTACAAAAGTTGATATACGTCCGGTGTTCCGCGGAAGCAAAGTCGGTTGGTTTATCGATCGAGATGACTATGGGCAGATGGTCTGATGCCAAAGTCAGCATAGGTCGCCATGATATGCTGTTTATCAGACCAGCGCTGACTATTGTTATGTCTGGCGAGCTGCAGCAGCTGCCCATAATCCTGGTGGGTGCGTCGTCGTTCATTGTGCAGAATGTCGAATCGTCTATCTGCTCAGCCAAGTCAGTTCCCCTACGATCGTTTGACAGGCTTGAGTGCCAAAGATCGTGGTGCGCATTAAAGTCACCTACTACCATATGGTTTCAACAGTGTTGAATTGCTGTGCAACTTCGTCTCTTGGACCGCATCTATCAATATGCCATGCCTTCCCATGAAGACGGTTATCTCCTCGATCTTGCTCTGAAGCCCTTTACAGTTAAATTGAAGGAGCTTCATGTGGTTCGGGAGACGTGTGGTGATGCGGGGTGTGAGGGATGTGTCTGGTCGTGNAAGACGGTTATCTCCTCGATCTTGCTCTGAAGCCCGTTACAGTTAAATTGAAGGAGCTTCATGTGGTTCGGGAGACGTGTGGTGATGCGGGGTGTGAGAGATGTGTGTGGTCGTGACGCCATTGGCTGTGTGCGCTGCGGAGCTGGTTGCCGCCCTGTGGTGGTGGTGGGTGGAGTCGCAGTTGAGATCTGCGACCGAGCAGCGCAACACGGGCCCTCGAAGTTCCTCGTCCAATCTTGCGTGGTGCGCAGACCTGAGATGCCCTAAAGTGGACCAGCCAAGGCAGGTGTTGCACTTGACTGATGTCACATTACGGAATATCCTGGTCTGACATACCGTGCAGATTGTAGGAGGAACCACGAGTTGTTGGCGGCGGCGTGTGGGTAGTGGTGCGGTTGTATGTGTTCTGTGGTCTGTCCTGGTTGTGATATGGTCTGTTGGGTTGTTATGTTGTTGTGCTGTGGTGATTGTGTGGGGCTGCTCAGGTGGACTGGGGTTAGCCGTGGAGGCTGCTCTGTTTGAGCAGCAGGGGGCCACATACGACGAGGTCCACTGCCGATGTGTCCGTAATCCTGAGCAGACTCTAAGGTGACTCTACCCCTCGCAGTCATTACACTTGACTGAGGTGGAGTTGTGGTGTAGTCGTA